TGAACCAGAAGAAATTTCTGGCTCCCCGAGTGTTACATGAAGGCACTAACACCCCTGTGTTGTGTCTTGTTAATCCATCAGATAGCTATCGTCTTGTCAGGAGGGGAACAGAGATAGGGAGGGCATTTGCCATCAGTGAAGTTGTCAAGAATGAGTGTGATGTTGAAACATCTTAGCCCAGCAAAGTGTTTGAAACATCAGGTGCGGTTGGTCCAATACCACCACACCTGCAGGAGGTCTATGACACCTCTTGTGGCAGCCTTGATGAAGGTCAACGGATTCAATTAGCGCAATTGCTGATTGAGTGCCAAGAAGTTTAGTTTCGCCGCCATATAGTTTATGTGTACAACTGAAGGTTATTTTTAACATAATTCAAAATAATGGAATAAAGCTGCATTCTGTTTTCAGAGAACAAATTATTGTTAGATTCCCCTGCTTTGTTCATGTTTTGATTAGTTACCTGTTGGACTTCTCCTTTATTGATTCCACAAGCGTATGAGGTCGGCGAATCGAGTATGTCTCACGTGATTTGCGAGTTACATCTGACCACTGTGTGTTGTGTTCAATACAACAGAGGGACACGTCTTTAAAACTGTGTCCCTCAAGGTGAAAGTGTTCAGCGTCCGGGGATCTGTTACATTTGCTCCAGTCGGAGCGGTGTAAATTCATTCGTTTACTTTAATGGAAGTTTAGTTTCCGTCGACATATTGTTTGTCATACCACAGGAGTATGGAATCGTTTTTGTTTTGAATAGGTGAATTTATTTTCTCTCACTTTTATTTGAAAATCTGACCATTGCACTTATTTGAAAAGTTGACCTTACTAAAACGTATGGTTTTATGAGCTTGGAAATCGAAACCCAGTACGCTTGAAGATAGAATTCGTTAAATTAGCAAAGAAATCATCGACAGATAACAATAATTGACATTTTCGTAAAATTCTGTAAAATGCGTAATGGGCGAAGCAAAAACGTTGCATTCCTCGTGTTAACTTCTGATATATAAGAGATCACATACTACTATTTTATTAGTTTATATTTTTGGATAATTTTCCACAATGTCCAGTGGTCATACAAGCTTCTTTCACTACACGGCACGCTGTCTAATATTAATGTGTTACACAAAATAATATAAGGCTAACACATAAATATTGGACAACAACCTGTACTGTATTAACAAATAACAGTACGGTCAGAACAAAGGAATGACGTCAAAGTAGTAATTTAATTTAAAATAAAACCATCACTTCTATAAACGCGAACTGCTCTCGGTTAAGTTTAAAAAAGCTAGAAAATTAATTATTTGTATCCTCCATATTAAATATTTAATTAATTCAATTATCATTCTAGTGGTCATCCTTTACTTTGAACGTGTTGTATTGGTATTTAGCAACCGTAGTTAACTGGCTTTTTTCTCAGCAACTACTTATCAAAGCTTTTTGATATTTGGCATACAACATTGACCGTGGGATTTGATTTCAGGTCTGTCGCTTATCCTTTTCCTGTTTTCCGACTTAGTTAAATTTTCAATATTTATGGTCAATGGTAAAAACTGCATACAGTATTGACATGTGGTCCCATACTATGGTGTCTGTCGCTCATCCACTTCCTGTTACTGACTTAGTTAAAGTTTCGACATGGTCGAAATTAAATCTTTTCCTATTATCACAGCCTCTTGATATTTGCTATAAATGCAACCCGGCCTTTTCTGTCTTTGACCCATTTCTTTTATTAATTAGCATTGTTATTTTGGTTTCATCGAGTTAATAATCATGTCTTACAATTATTCTGTTTTTGTCTGTGTTATTAAACTTTGTCCTTTAAAAATGCAATATCTTCTTTAATCTTTTGTCTATAGTACAAAGTAATATTTCTGGAAAGTAATGATATAGTTTTGCTACTTTAACATTATTTTTTATTTTTTATCAAGCTCCCTTTAAAAGAAATTATTCTATGAGAAATGAATATCGATACATGTACTAATATTAGTGTATAAAACATACTGATTTCTTCTCAGTTCTCACTTTCAGTTTGTAAACTTTGAGTAAAAGACAAAGAAATGTTTAAAATAAAACAGTATTTTTTATCAAATTTCATAATTGCAACTGTGTTTTGTATTTCTATAGCGTACGAGTACTTGCCGTTACTTTGTTTTCGAAAAAGCGTTTGCATATGTTCCCAACAGGGCAACGAATGAATGGTCCTAATTTTTAGAAAAAAAATGTAGTTAATTAAATAAGAAGAAAATTAAAATACATATCAGAACTATCAAAATAGCAAAGTTAGGCTGTCATAGATAAAGACCATAATGTTTTCATCTTCCGGGATTCGCTGGCGAGGCCAATCAAGTGTGTGTTGGGGATGGGGTCAGAATGTGTTGTTATCGGCAATTTGGGGAAAAGATAAAATCAGTAAGGTTTGAAACAATTTTTAGTAATAAATTCAATTTTAATTCTTGCTTGCTTTCCTCAGTTTATTCAAGAAATAAAAGAAATGATAGGGGAATACTATTCTTTAATTAGAGAACTATATGCTTTTTCATTTAAGGAAAAGGGCCTTATTCCGGTCTTTAAATCACAGAAGACTGTGCGAAATTGAATGGCACGTCACAAATGTACATGAAATTACATATATATGTATCAAAATCGTTCCATTTTATATCAATATACGGCTTACACACGAGGTTTACTTAAATTGACATATGTAAGTTTATATATAAAACCTGACCAATTTTTCTAACACAAACTTAAATATTCAAACATGTGTTCTCTCTTTTCCATTCGAGAAAAAGCTTAGTGAGGCAAAATATGTCATAACTGATTATATACCGAATAAAGTCGACCAATATGGTTAGATATTAAATACTACATTATACACTTATTGACTAGTGAGCCATTAGAAATGATATGATATTCACATCATATTCAATATATCATTAGTCGATAACTGTTTTATTACACGATCAGCTTAAGATTAAAAAACATACAAAATTAAAAGCTTAATATTAAAAACAACTTATCAATGTACTCATCATTGCGGTATTAACCGTTACCCATTATTGTGGAGTTAATATGTTTAAAAGAGAAAATAATGCAACCTTAGGTCTGAAGCAACCAGTCAATTTAAATTTACGACGGCCACGCTCAATAGGTTTTTTTTTCTAATGTCAAACATATTGGAGGAAGAATATTTTAGTAAAGAGTACTCCTAAAAAACAGAATTCTCTTGTGAAAAAATGCAAATTTCAGAATTGACCCTCAAAGTCATTCAAAGGTCAAGGTCACATTATAATTAATCGTCATTTTAGTTTTTTGCCATAAGGGTACTTTTGTTCAAGTATATATCAAATCCGAAAATAAATAACAAAATTATTATTATCTAATATAAATTTAATAGTTGATATTGAAGGTATTGTGCTCAAGTATGAAGACAATACATTCATAAGTAAAAGTTATTATACTTACAATATCCTGTCAATTCATTTTAAGTCAAAGTTTCACTACTACCTGCTAAAGCATATCTAAAAAAATTCAAATCTAAAGAAATACATCCGAAAAACAAAAGTGAATTAAGATCAACACTTCATTTTATTTATTTGAAATATTGATCTGCTTTTTATTTAAGAGCATATACATGCGCTATTATAAATGCATCAAACGTGACTAGTTTTATGATATATAAAATTTGATTTTGTGAATCATAGCCGTTTTGAGATTTTTAGAATTTTTAGATTCACTTAGCCATGCAATTATTTACTATTGATGTTGGCAACATGATGTCTATTTTAATTGAATTACTTAATAAAAGATCAACCCGAACACTTAAAATAGAAATATTCAAACGATAATTAAGGCACATATTCAGTTATAAATTAAAACTCGTATTTTTGTGCTATTTTAAGCCCGATTTGAGTTTAAAGCGTTGCGACGCTTTTCAATTTTGGGTTATTTTCAAAATTAGAATAGTTATTCTGGCAAAACGCAGTAAGCGAACGATCTAAAAATATGCAGATAGGTTATTGGTCTGGACCTTAAACAAATGGAACATTGATTTTGGAAAAACTTTCCAGTCCTGTCATGTCGTAAAACCCAAGTTGAATTCCCATAATGAGCTCAATCCAGCTGTGAAATTTAAAGTTATTCCTAATAACTTTTTGAACTATACCCTAGACTAAAATTGAATATGTAGAAGACAAAAGTAGGGCATTTACATCATAATAGCTGTGGTTCTTTAAAGATGTAATTTATCATTCTATTAAGATTCAAGTAAATACCTGCTACCTTTCTGTATGCCTACAAAGTATAAAACAAAAGGCAATATACAATAAGTAATGACCTTGTACACTGCTGTTTTAGTCTATGAGACATGCCCATCTCCAGTAATTCCTTTTAGATATGCACACAAATTAAGTATAAAGAATGGCAAAGCGCAATATAATTCTTATAAAAGTGATTATTCTTGAGTATTGCACTTCTCCTTTACGAGCGTGAAATTCTCCATTTCGGATTGAGTTATACCCCCGAAAACGAAGGCTCAAATATTTCAAAGAATTTGGAAGGAAAAAAGATTAACGATTCTTGGTAAATTTGTTCCCTTTCAATGAGATGTACATTTGAAGTTTAATAATGTTTTACTCAAATAGTTAAGGTTTTATGCCCTTGTTTAATTGTTACAAACAGACGAAGGAAAACCGGGAGGAGAATGTCACGACGGACAACGTCAAATGAGTATCTTTCATTTATCATCGATGAGATAAACTCATACAATGTGACTAGTTACATATGAAAAGAAAGTAACTTGACAATATTTGACAATCGTTCCATTTATCAAAACTTGATCCCGCAAATACAAGGAAAAACTTATAGTTACACAAAACATATTTTCAAAAATGATATATGCTGGGTCTGAAAAGTTTGGTCAAGTGTTTCAAATAATTACTCGAAAATACACAATACTATAATTATGCTGACACAGTAAAGCTCAAGAAATAATCATCTTAACAAAATGTATCTACAGTTTATTTACGAAAATTGTATCAAATTAAAACAAAACCACTCAATTAGGACGAATTTAAAGACTAGCATTTCAACTGACGTAATAAATGTGCATGCACACTAGTAAGTTAAGTTTCTGTCTCCTCAATTGCGGAATAAGGTTGTGTTTCGTTATTTGACAATCTGACACTCTTACGGTTGTATAAAGTGGCGCGCTTCCATTCTTGGACCTCTTTGTGTTTCTTCCGTGCAAAGAATCCACACTGGAAATACACTATACTGTGTTTAAAAAAGTCCTTTTTCCTTTTATAATATGTCCTTTTCTTTATGACCCTAAGCTTTAAAGAAACTTTGGTAAATCTACTGAATATTTAGTATAATTATAACATTTTAAGATACATTATGTTTCAAACAATCGTCGAATGCAATAATTTTATTAATTGTAAACGATTTTTAACAAGGCAGGAGAAAAAAACGAGACTTTGTCAAATAAAATCTTAAAAGTACAGAGTTGATTGACTCATGCATGTTACGTAACGACTGTACTATTCGCAAAGATATTTTATTCACTTTCCTAAATGATTGTGGTTTTGATTAACTGCCAATTTCTGGTTTCCGGTTTCTTGTGAGATATTCAACTTCAAGTTTATTATCATAATTAAGGCATAACATATTTGAAATTTAAAGAAGTACACTAGTACTATAATCTCACACCTCTTATTTGTGTGTTTTTCTGAATTTAAGCCGATATAAAACATAATTTGCTCATATCTCGACAGTCGATCCACCTAACCGGTTTTTTGGATAACTAACCAGAAATAACCAAGTTTTTCATAAATGACATACCTTCTTAAGAATTATGATAATAATGACAAGAACAGCAAGGGCACCATAAACACTTCCTATTATAATCCCCATCGATCCACCACCATAATAATCCATAATGACCATCACGGATACATCAGATGTAAGTTCTACAACAAACGTTGTCCATTTCTGGAATACATTGATTTACATCGCTGTATTGCATAATGTACAGTATTTATAACATATAATATATTCAAAAGTAACGTAATAAAAATTCTATAATGTTGTTAAATATATGTACTTGATGTAAAAAAAAATGCACTTTTATGTGGCATTTGAAACATGCATAATGACATATTATATAAAAAAGAGTCAAGTATATAGATAATTATATGCATTAATGAAGTTCCGGCTATTGACATGATTGATATGAGTTATGGTCCCGAATTTGCAAAGAGGAAAAGATTAACGATTTTTTGTAAATTTGTTTTCTCTCAATGCGATGTTGTCACGAACGAACGAAAGAAAATCCGATGGGAGAAAGTCAGCATGGACAGCCAACAATCTTCCTACACAGAGTTTTATCAATTGCAAATTATTTATTTTTATCTTTACAGCAGAACATAGACGAGTCTTTGTAAAATAGTATGTATCTACAGCATAGTAACATATCATATGACAAACGTATCTCAGTTCAAAATTTACCTCAGCATACACAGTTTTATTCCACGGAACAACTTTTCCACCATACCATATAAACGGATCAGTAACGGTTGCGTATGTTGCGTAATGTATTTCAAGAAATTCCTATATATAACAAGTGATTTACAATTCAATACAAAGATGTAACGAAATATTATATCTTCAATTTCTTCATTATAAATCTATCACAAATGAAGGTTCTATTCTATCAGAATGGGTTCATACACATACTTTCCAAGGCGAACTTTCCGCAACTGAATTTACCGGTACAACAAGTTCAGACCTAGATCAGCCGGTACAATTGGGGTAGAGGCAATCTCATCATTGATCTGCATTGTTTGCTTTTCATTCAGTACTTCTTTTTGTTTGAAAATTATGATTGTATTGTCTAAGATTGAAAGATGGAAAAGTCTATTTAGGACATTTTGCGCGGTAGGGGTTAAACTTGTAGACTACCGATTCCATACCGGCACACTTATTATTGAGGATAATGTCTTCTTATGATGCCCTTCAACAAAATTATGATACGTGACTTGTACTATGTCGTATTTTTGCTCCGCCCGGCGCCAGACGAAACCACAAAAATACGACATTGACCATTTGTCGTACTTTCGCTCCGCGGGTCGCCAAGCGGAGCAAAAATACGACATGTCATAAATTAGCAACCATACAAAACTGTATGAATTTGTAACGCTCTTGTAAAAACGTATTATATTTAGGCCTTTAAACAAACATTAAACCAATTATTACATAATGAATCATAGGACTAAATTTGGCACCAAAGAAATGTGCTTGAAATATACCTTTTGTTTGGCAAGTTTATTTTCAAAAACATCTAGTTTGATATAAATGATGTGTTGTTTATTGTGTTCCAAATTTAGTATTTCACATTCTATTACCTCACAAGAAAAGTCGTCGTTGCATGTCTGAAAAATTCAAGCATTTAAATATCTAGCGCTTTGTTCGAATAGATTTGAGGATCAGGGTTAATATCAGTATCAAATTTAAAACTTAAGTATTTGCCATTGTTTATTCACATATATCAAATATTTCATATTAATTTGATAAAATTGGACTTAGAATTAATGTAAAGAATGTAAAGTGATTTTGCAATATATGGGCATTTTAAAGTTGATCCAAATATTTATCTTGATCCTAAAAGTGATAATTATTTTAAACCAATTATGTTTGTATTTGTTTTAACCTTTTACCCCATGAGCATATTGTGAAAAATGGCCGTTTTCACTGAACAGCCTCCTGTTACAAGTTCCAACTGCTATAAAACTATGAAAAATGCTTCAATACTGATGAAACTTGGCACATATGTTGTCTGAATAACCTCTGTCACAACATGCTCAATCGTAAATTACCTGTTACCATGGCCACGGAGGACGTCTCAAAATTGCAAAAAATCACTATTTTGCATTTTTTCCCATCAAAACTGATTTCAAAGTGCTGCAACTTCTCAATGTAATGATATAGAGTAAAAGGTTTTCAGCGTTGGTTACACGGCACCTAACGATCAACCTTAGGCCATTTTTAGACTGTCACATGTCCAAAATTTTCTTGGCGATGAGGGGGACTACCGCCCCCCTTCAAAACTCCCAAACAGAAGGGGGCACATCCCCCTTCTGGCAACCCCCTGGTGTATCATTTTGATGGGAGGCCGCGCCGAAAAACTGGTCACTTTTTTAACAACATCTTTTAAACGAAAAACAGTGTTTGGTGCCTAGTTAGGGCATTTTTTCACTGTTTGAGGCCTCAAAAAGGGGGGGGGGGGCAAAAAGCCGTCAAAACACGCTTATATCAGGGAAAAGGTTGAAATTCGTCTATTTTATCCCAAAATAAGTTGTTTGTTTTACTAATCTAATCTTTTCTTTGTGAACATGAAGTTGTTTGTTTATTATAGTTTGTTTAATGTTTAAGCTTATACTTTGTATAAACTGGTTGCAATAGAGTGTATATATTTTTTACAACCTCTTCAGAGGCAGTTCGCACTTGAAGCTCGGCCTTTTCAAGAATGCAAAATTCGTTATTGGATAAGAATATTTTAACAAATGTCTATATGCGAATTTATTTCCTTTGTTATATCACTTTAATCCTAAGCTTACTCGAATTATCTGGTTCTACGTTGACTAATCACGGTCAGCACTGTTTGCTCCTCAGTCAATAGTTATTGTTTTCCCTAACTAACAATGGTAACTGGGTTTATTCAGATTAGATGACAAGGCAATTAAAGAAAATAAGCGTGTTTAAGCTTTGTATTGCATTGTCATCTCTTAAGAACAGTAAAACCAATTTGAAAAGCAGCACGCCTCCACATTCATGCTAATTTTTATCAAAATGGATCAAAAAAGTAAAATATTGAAAATGATCAAAAAAAAGTAATTTACACTTTGCAATCGGCACTAACAATCCATGTAAATTACCAAACAAACAGGTGAAAATATGCAGAAAGATAGCCTTTACTGCGCTTGTCACGCATAAAAAATGGTAATTAATACTGAAAAACTAAGAATTTTATCTCACATACCATGTAAATAAGTACGTGAATCTTGAAGCATCTTGCTTTTCTTTAAATATTCGAACATTTTTCTCAAATCTTATTTTCTTAAAATATTTTTTCTTATCTGGTGTGCAGCATTAAAGTTTTCACTTTAAAAATGAAATGTTGACTGTTAAAAAAGCAAATGACTAGCGCTTACTATATTCATAGCTTTGGATGTCGGTTCTGATTTCTCTCCAGTACTTTTCGCACTTTGTGCCGATTGTTCCGCTTCTCTTCGTCTCGTTTCTGTAATCATAGAAATGTTTGAGATATACATTTGTATGAGTAAACGAGTATATTTGCTCTACAGCACGTTAAAATGTTCACAGTATTTACATCAAATAATAGTTCAAACGTCCAGGATCTTCAACATATCTGGACCCTCAAGTTATATACCTGATCAATACATAAATAGAAGATGACATCTGTGCATACTTGATAAGTTGAGAGCAAAAATGATATACCATGATACATTAGAATCAATTATATCTATTTACTCATAACTATAAATCAGGTGTAGTGTCACATCATAATTACTTATGGCTATATACCAAGTTTTGAGTCATACATTGTATACTAAATAATTAAATATATATAGCAAGATTAGTGCCATATAATAATTAATCATTGCTATAGATCAGTTTCTTTTACTAATTATAGTTTTATACCAACATCGGGTAGGATAATAGCTGCTCATGTTTATTTACCATATTTTGAGTAAGATAATAATTGCTAATGGTTATATACCAGATTTTAGGGCTAGATGATAATTATTTATGGTTAAATACCTGGTTTTGTGTCAGGAGGAAGTGAGAATTTTGTTGCTTTCGCCGTAGATGATGCTTGTGTAGAAGTCTCAAATACAATTGTTCCGTTGTACACACATTCAGAAGGCAATTCCTACGGTGGCACAAATGTGACATGTATGTGTTTTTATTTATCTCGTGGCCACGAGATACTATGTCGTGGCTACGAGTTACTAAGTCGTGGCCACGAGATAGCTAACTCGTGGCCAAGAGATACTATGTCATGGCCACGAGTTTCTAAGTCGTAGCCACGAGATAGCTAAGTCGTGGCCACGAGAGAGCTAACTCGTGTTCACGAGTTACTAAGTCGTGGCCACGAGATAGCTAACTCGTGGCCACGAGATACTATGTCGTGGCCACGAGTTACTAAGTCGTGGCCACGAGACAGCTAACTCGTGGCCACGAGATACTATGTCGTGGCCATGAGATAGCTATGCCGTGGCTACGAGATAAATAACCAATCAGATTACACCATTTATGTTACTTTCCCTAATTAACTAGACATGTGCTGTAGTACAAGGATACCCCTACTTCACCAGCCTGTAAAAGTGCCATTTATACAACTTATTAACTTGTAGCTAATTTTACATTTAGCGTCACTGTGACCCTGATCTTTGACAAGATGACCTCGAAAGTATTAGATGTCATCTACTGATCAGGTGCAATGATCTTTCTGGGTAATATAAACCATGGCTTATCCCTTCTAAATTATTCATCAGACAAGGATTTTATCTTATAGGCTATATACTGTCCATGGGCAATGTCCCTTACAAATAAAATAAACAAGGACTTATTCCTTCTCATGTTATCGTATAAACAAGGTTTACAGTCCGTAGTACGTACAGACTGACCAATTCGATCACAAAATTGTCCCAACAAAGAGCTATAGTCAAAATTAATGTCTGATTGGCCTTGGAAGATGACTTTCTAAAATGATCTTAAAGACAAGTTCAAATTGAATAGCTTCAGTATTTAAGATTAATGTTGCATGTAAAAGTAAGTTGTTAAGTTTAACAAAATCATAATATATATAGTTTATTTTGATTGGTTAATTATCTCGTGGCCACGACTTAGCTTTCTCGTTCCCACGACTTAGTTACTCGTGGCCACGACAAAGTATCTCGTGGCCACGACTTAGCTATCTCGTGGCCACGACATAGTATTGCGTGGCCACGACATAGTATCTCGTGGCCACGACTTAGCTATCTTGTGGCCACGAGTTAGCTATCTCGTGGCCACGACTTAGTAACTCGTGGCCACGACATAGTATCTCGTGGCCACGACTTATCACCTACTTTACAACTTCTGATGTATTCCTTAACAAAGTAGTTGATTTTTTTACTCATGATCTTTTAAGCTTTCACCTCATATAAGCATGTTTTGACGCTTTTAAAACCCTCCCCTTTTAGAAGCCTCAAATACTGTTTTTCGTTTGAGAAAACTTGAATTGGAGCGGTATCCCCCTCGTCGCCATGACAATTTTGGACTTGTGAGGGGTTACAACGGCCTTAGGTCGATCCTAAGGTAACGTGGTAACGTGTAACCAACACTGAAAAGCCTTTGACTCTATCACAATCCGTTGAGAAGTTGCAGCACTTTATAATCAGTTTTGATTGAATAAACAACGCAAAATAGTTATGTTTGGCACTTTTGAGACGTTCCCCGTTGTCATGGTAGTAAGAAATTTAGGATTAAGCATGCTTATCCAAGGCTATGGTCCAGTCAACATTTGTGACAAGTTTGATCAGTACCAAAGACTTTTTTGATTATATAAAGTCTTCTACATCTGTGAACCATTTAAAAACTTTTTCTTGAGATATCATCACACATCGATATATACAAATTGATAATCTCATTAATGTATTAATATTTATGTATCTTAACAGTTTGAATATGTAAACTCTATATTGTTCCTTGTTTAGGGTCTCATGGAATATTGGTATTTTGTTCAAATGAGTTCTCTCGTTAAGTAAAATCTTTATTATAATTATTATTATTATTATTATTATTATTATTATTATTATTATTCATTTTATGCTTTCCAGTGGATTACTGATTTTTCCGTGAAAATTATATTTGATAATTTCACAGTGAAATTTATCAAAATATAATTTCACACTTTTCAATGACGAAACTACTTTGTAAAGATTTTCCCCATGTTGTACCTCAATTTTATTTTTGCTGACAATTTTGACAATGTCAGGCTGTTTAGAGAAAAGCAAAGCTGAAATTAATAAATAACTTAAATGTCAAAAGTAATAAAGAAAAAAGAAAACTAACTTCTATTCATCCAAATTAGCAATCACCAAATATCGTCTCTTATTTTTTTGTTTCATTTTTACTGTCTGAAAAATACATTCCTTCCACATGCAAAATTGTTCTTAATGACATTTGGGCATATTTAAGTATCCTACGAGCAATAACTGTCGTATGCTTTATGAAAACTTAAAAAAACATAACAGCCATCAGCCCGAAGAATAAGTAACAACCCAGCGTTCGTAAGGCAGCCTTTCAACAAATCCATTTTTCCAATTTCCTAGTCGTTTTTTTAATGTTTATACATTTGTCAACACTTATATATTGTCTGTTACAATCCGCAAATAAGTTTTCTTTCTTTTAAAAAGGTGTATGACTAACAAATCCAAATGATATCTCTCTGATTCAAACACAACTATTTTCCTCCCGTGAAATACACAACTTTTAAAAATGGCGGCCGCTTACATTTAACAGAGCCTGGTCTAATATAAATTCGCAGTAAGTAACAGAAATATTGATGGATGGTTGGACCTTTTCTCCTACTAGAATTAAAACAGGCAATCATTCATATTTTTTTTTTAATAAAATGAATAATATCACCGCCATTTAACGTAGATTATCGAACTTATTTTTTAACCCAAGACTTCTTGTATTTTATGAGAAATTCGACTAAAACATGTAAATAATAGAGGCTACCAGTGGAGAAAACAGATTTTAATATTTAAGTTAATATCAAGAAAATTTCGTTTTAACTTGTTTTTAAGCATAAAATAAAAAGATAATTTTTTGTTTTTGTGTAAAATGTAATTTTTTTTCATCTCGTGAACTTAAAAAAAACAGTATTCTTTCGTGAGAAGAAAACTGTTTTTAAAGCTCACTCGATGAAATAAAATTTCATCTTACATACAAACAAACAAATATCATCTAATTAACCATTACATTTAGTGCGTTACTATTATATGTTCGTATAACGCAAGTGACGTCACGTCATAATTTATGCAGGGTGTGCCATTCCATTTTTATGGAGTAGAGAAAACGGCACGGGTTTTGTAACATATGATTTTAACAGAGAAGGAAAATGCACAAAAAAGATACAACAATGTGTCATTGTTCGAAACTTGCTCCATCATACATTATTAAGCACAGTTAATGAAGTACAAGTTTATTACATGATTTCCTTACACTCATGTTAAGGACATATGTCTCTGTGCCAAAAGATTTAAAAAAAAACAAGCGTATCTTAAAAAGAAAACATTTTAAACAGGCCTCTTTTGAAACAGAGAACCAATTAGATCTTACCACAATTCTAACAAACTCTGCATCTTCCTTTGCCAGTGGTATTGTTATGTTAACGTATGTCTTCGGAAGAAAACTAGGTCCTTCGTTTGTAACGACGTATCTATGAATCAAACGAAGCATATGTGTGCTCTTTTCGTCAGCCTTGTATCTTACCTGATCGGACTTTTCTTTGCTTAAAAAATAAAATGTAATCAGTTATGATCTTGGATCAAAATCTCTCCTTTCAGCATTTGTTGTACAAATAGGAGGTAACAACCTTTAAGATTTCCTGCACATTTTTAATTGAAGGAATATGAAATATAAAAATACATTAGATTCAGAGTGTAAAATAGTTTTCAAAGATTATTTTATCAAAAGACACAATAACAGTACATCCGAACCTCAGAATTATAGTATACGACCGCTTAGCTATAAATGGAGAGCTACATAATCCAGTGTTGCTGGTTTAAACCTCGGGTAGGAGGTGAGTAGGGGATGGAGGGATGAATTGAGACTAGAGGTCAGCTGTTCCTAATCGCTGATTCGTCATTAACGTGTGATTATAAACCGGTTATATGTGGAGAAATTGGTAATTACCGGTGAGTTATCAAGGAAAGCATATACGATTGATAGACTGTCGAGATAAAAGAAGAGATTAAAATGTTTTAAAATCGGTGACAACACTGCTAGTGAAACAAAACAAAAAATAAAACAATGGAAAATCAAACTTGAATGATAAAACACACTTGGCTTTCGATGAGATCATTTGTTAAATAGTAAACACATACTCTGCCTGTATATGTACAGCATATTTCAGCTTCACTAAAATTGTTCTTTTGAAGTCATTGTTGCTAGTGTCAACGTCTAAATTAGCCTGGTCAGCAAGCATAGAAATCTACAGCAAAAAAGTGGTTACTCTGTTGTATTTTGTTCATTTTATTGCATGGTGCCCCACAGAGCGAACATACGATATAACACAATTCAACAACCATAGCATTTGGAGTAAAATAATTTTTGATGAGTAATGTCAATATGCTCTCTGCTTGTTTACATTAAACAGACTAACAAACATACAAAAAGATAAAAAAAGAATAAAATAAATTAGTAAAAAACAAACATAATTCTGGTAAAAGAAGTTATCAATGATGAAATTTCAGAACGATTTTCACACTGTCTTGGTGCATTTGAATGCTACATGAAAACTAATTAATTTCAAATTATTAATTATATTTCTGTGCAATTCAAATTATCAAATCAATATGAAAATGTATACTCTATAACACAGTAAAGTATGAACTTGATGCAAACAACGGTTAAAATATAAATATTTTAAATTCATGTTAAGTTCTTCGTAGACATAGATTCATAGAGAATAACAGGTTACTGTCTTTTGAGAAATGGTTTCTCAGACGAGGTTAGATATGGTCCTGGAAGGGGCGAGGCTTGCCGAGCCCCTTCCGGACCATATCTAGCCGAGTCTGAGAAATCCCTTTCTCAAAAGACAGTAACCTGTTATTCTTTTTATCATGCCACTATTATAATTTTGTATCTTATTTTTTTAATTCGGGGCGCTAATTTCTGAAAATACGGTAACCACTTTGTACAAGAGGGTTATACGCCAAAAAAGTAGTCCGAGGGTTTTTACCAATAATTTTATAACACAACACAATTTTTGGTACAATTTGCTTTAACAATTTATTTACTGTGTATTATCATAAATATTCAGCAAAGTCAATTAAACAATACCAACAATAAACATCATCAGTGCTGATCTGGCGTAGGAACATATTACCATTTCAACAAATTTAGCAAATGGCCGCCGGCTGAAACAGACATAGACTGGAGAATTTAATTGTGCTTTAACAGGATAACAAGTGTGATTTTTAAAGCTATTAAGGAGATTAACACAAAAAGAACAATGTTTTACAAACTGTTAGCCAGATATTAACAGTTTAACAATTAACATAACGGATTTGGACGAAGGAGTCTCGGTCACATGTTCACCTCAGCTGTTCAACGGAAATATTTCAAAACTGTTCAATTACGACTGCTACTGTCTTGATCGTTCCTTAGAGGCATGCTGTACATATTAAAATTCTGTATATGGACAGTAGCACCAAAAAACATTGACTGCACATGACCTTGAGCATTTCCAGCCTGAGTGAAATGGGTGGGGTAATTAACAGTTGGAACATTGACTACCTGAGACTGAGTGTTTGGAGCAGAGACAGGAGGTTCGATTTGTGTAGATGGCAAAACAGGCAGCGGAGACTGCGTTGGGACAGAAGTGCAATTGTCAAGGTAAGAAGCATTTGTACATGTTGCAGATTTATTTGTATTACTATTAATTGATCTCACTGAAGTGGCAGATCTGCTTAAGATATTTGAGCAAGTTTTTTGCTTTTTCAAAGACATATTGCTGTAATTGATTATGCTTTGTACACATTCATGCCCAGTGATCTGCATGATATCAGTAGGTGCCTGGTCCGAATCCCTGAGCTTTTGTATTGTGTGTTTTCTGGCAGAATGGTTGGTAAGGTGCCGTGTAATGCCTGATTTTACAGTCATTGTTTTCATTAGTGTGCCAATTTTTTTTTATTCCAACCCGCTGTTTTAAAAACCATTGGTCAAATTCTGTAAGTGGGGTTGTTCTTGGTGCCAAATAAAATGGGTCCGAATCCCGACTGAATCCATGTGGACGCTTGGCTGCATAGTATCTGTAGGCAGATACCGGATCCCGCTCAACTCCACTAGACCACATACGTGGAGGATTCTTCCTAGAACCACCACTGTCTCCAGTGCGTGTTTTAGTCTGGCGCTCTGTAAGTTCCAGAAACTCAGTGCCCTCCGCATCGATCTTTAATTGTATGTCGCCCCATCTGAAAACAATGTTTTTATAATATGTACAATTTTTAATATAAATATTAACATGTTAATTTATGTTTCTTTGTTGTTTTTTTTAAAGTTATGTTTCTTTGTTGTTTTTTTTTTTAGTTTTAAGTATGCAGCTAAAATCATAATTTTATTTCAATTTCAGGTTGTGAAACGGTGAAGCTTGGCCACATGAAATTTCATTTTAAATGGCATTCTGAACATCCTTTAACGTCTAAGTTCCAGAAAAACGTTACTAGAAGATTTTGAGATAAGTGATTTTGAAATAGAAAAGTTTTTTATGCATTTTAAATTTTTAGGTTTAATAATACGACTGATTAACTGTCTTTTAATTAATAGAGATGACATTTAAATTTACCATCAGTGATAGTGTTCTTCTACACTTCTCATGCCGAAATGTATGGTAAATGTTAACCACAAAGTGTTAATGATAGACTGTGGTGAAGAAAGACCTAGTTGGCCGGTATCATAAAGCCTGTCAATCTATTCATCTGTTATTGGTTGGGCAGCACTTTCTTTGTTGCCTTTACCTGATTTTTTTCAGATTTTTTGTTTTTGCCTGAAATTTACATGCTAATCATTTTGTTGTTTAAAAAATAGCTGATTTATATCATTATTATTTGTAGAAAATTAAAAGATCATTTATAAACAAAAATTTACAGGAAAAAAATAAAAAAAAAATTTTAATTATATTTAACCCATTACTTCATATACACGCCTTTTAACGCCTTTTTCACCCCCCCCCACTTTTTTGTTGTCTCAAATGATGAAAAATGCCTTATTTGACCCCAAACACTTGTTTTTGTTTGAGAAATGTTGTTAAAAAAAGTGACCTCTTTTTTGGCGCGGCCCCCCAACCAAAAGATACATCAGGGGGTTGCCAGAAGGGGGATGTGCCCCCTTCTGTTTGGGGGGGTTTGAAGGGGGGCGGAGTCCCCCTCATCGCCAAGAAAATTTTGGACTTGTGAGAGGCTGTAAATGACCCCAGATTGATCATAAGGTAACATGTAACCAACGTTGAAAAACATTTGACTCTATCTCAATCCATTGAAAAGTTACAGCACTTTGAAATCAATTTTGATGGAAAAAATCAACGCAAAATAGTGATTTTTGGCAATTTTGAGATGTCCCCTCGTTGCCATGGTAACAGAAAATTTAAGCCTGATCATGTTGTTGCAAGGGCAATGGTCCAGTTAACATTTGTGCCAAGTTTGATTAGTGTTGAAGCAGTTTTTATAGTATCATAGCAATTTGAACTTGTAACGGGAGACTTTTCAATGAAAACAGCCATTTTTCAAAAAATGCTCATGAAGTAATGGGTTAATGAAAAAAATCAAAAAAATCTACAAAACAACAATTTTCTTCAAATTTATATGACAGGCCATGTTTAAACATGAAAAAACGCGATTTAGGGTAATTTCAAGTATTTTCATCATTTTCTGTTAACCCATTACTTCATATACACGCCTTTTAACGCCTTTTTCACCCCCCCCTTTTTTTGTTGTCTCAAATGATGAAAAATGCCTTATTTAGGCCCCAAACACTTGTTTTTGTTTGAGAAATGTTGTTAAAAAAAGTGACCTCTTTTTTGGCGCGGCCCCCCAACCAAATGATACATCAGGGGGTTGCCAGAAGGGGGATGTGCCCCCTTCTGTTTGGGGGGGGTTTGAAGGGGGCGGAGTCCCCCTCACCGCCAAGAAAATTTTGGACTTGTGAGAGGCTGTAAATGACCCCAGATTGATCATAAGGTAACATGTAACCAACGTTGAAAAACATTTGACTCTATCTCAATCCATTGAAAAGTTACAGCATTTTGAAATCAATTTTGATGGAAAAAATCAACGCAAAATAGTGATTTTTGGCAATTTTGAGATGTCCCCTCGTTGCCATGGTAACAGAAAATTTAAGCCTGATCATGTTGTTGCAAGGGCAATGGTCCAGTTAACATTTGTGCCAAGTTTGATTAGTGTTGAAGCAGTTTTTATAGTATCCTAGCAATTTGAATTTGTAACGGGAGACTTTTCAATGAAAACAGCCATTTTTCAAAAAATGCTCATGAAGTAATGGGTTAATGAAAAAAATCAAAAAAATCTACATAACAACAATTTTCTTCAAATTTATATGACAGGCCATGTTTAAACATGAAAAAACGCGATTTAGGGTAATTTCAAGTATTTTCATCATTTTCTGTTAACCCATTACTTCATATACACGCCTTTTAACGCCTTTTTCACCCCCCCCTTTTTTTGTTGTCTCAAATGATGAAAAATGCCTTATTTAGGCCCCAAACACTTGTTTTTGTTTGAGAAATGTTGTTAAAAAAAGTGACCTCTTTTTTGGCGCGGCCCCCCAACCAAATGATACATCAGGGGGTTGCCAGAAGGGGGATGTGCCCCCTTCTGTTTGGGGGGGGGGTTGAAGGGGGCGGAGTCCCCCTCACCGCCAAGAAAATTTTGGACTTGTGAGAGGCTGTAAATGACCCCAGATTGATCATAAGGTAACATGTAACCAACGTTGAAAAACATTTGACTCTATCTCAATCCATTGAAAAGTTACAGCACTTTGAAATCAATTTTGATGGAAAAAATCAACGCAAAATAGTGATTTTTGGCAATTTTGAGATGTCCCCTCGTTGCCATGGTAACAGAAAATTTAAGCCTGATCATGTTGTTGCAAGGGCAATGGTCCAGTTAACATTTGTGCCAAGTTTGATTAGTGTTGAAGCAGTTTTTATAGTATCATAGCAATTTGAACTTGTAACGGGAGACTTTTCAATGAAAACAGCCATTTTTCAAAAAATGCTCATGAAGTAATGGGTTAATGAAAAAAATCAAAAAAATCTACAAAACAACAATTTTCTTCAAATTTATATGACAGGCCATGTTGAAACATGAAAAAACGCGATTTAGGGTAATTTCAAGTATTTTCATCATTTTCTGTTAACCCATTACTTCATATACACGCCTTTTAACGCCTTTTTCACCCCCCCCCCTTTTTTGTTGTCTCAAATGATGAAAAATGCCTTATTTAGGCCCCAAACACTTGTTTTTGTTTGAGAAATGTTGTTAAAAAAAGTGACCTCTTTTTTGGCGCGGCCCCCCAACCAAATGATACATCAGGGGGTTGCTAGAAGGGGGATGTGCCCCCTTCTGTTTGGGGGGGTTTGAAGGGGGGCGGAGTCCCCCTCATCGCCAAGAAAATTTTGGACTTGTGAGAGGCTGTAAATGACCCCAGATTGATCATAAGGTAACATGTAACCAACGTTGAAAAACATTTGACTCTATCTCAATCCATTGAAAAGTTACAGCACTTTGAAATCAATTTTGATGGAAAAAATCAACGCAAAATAGTGATTTTTGGCAATTTTGAGATGTCCCCTCGTTGCCATGGTAACAGAAAATTTAAGCCTGATCATGTTGTTGCAAGGGCAATGGTCCAGTTAACATTTGTGCCAAGTTTGATTAGTGTTGAAGCAGTTTTTATAGTATCCTAGCAATTTGAATTTGTAACGGGAGACTTTTCAATGAAAACAGCCATTTTTCAAAAAATGCTCATGAAGTAATGGGTTAATGAAAAAAATCAAAAAAATCTACATAACAACAATTTTCTTCAAATTTATATGACAGGCCATGTTTAAACATGAAAAAACGCGATTTAGGGTAATTTCAAGTATTTTCATCATTTTCTGTTAACCCATTACTTCATATACACGCCTTTTAACGCCTTTTTCACCCCCCCCCCTTTTTTTGTTGTCTCAAATGATGAAAAATGCCTTATTTAGGCCCCAAACACTTGTTTTTGTTTGAGAAATGTTGTTAAAAAAAGTGACCTCTTTTTTGGCGCGGCCCCCCAACCAAATGATACATCAGGGGGTTGCCAGAAGGGGGATGTGCCCCCTTCTGTTTGGGGGGGTTTGAAGTGGGCGGAGTCCCCCTCACCGCCAAGAAAATTTTGGACTTGTGAGAGGCTGTAAATGACCCCAGATTGATCATAAGGTAACATGTAACCAACGTTGAAAAACATTTGACTCTATCTCAATCCATTGAAAAGTTACAGCACTTTGAAATCAATTTTGATGGAAAAAATCAACGCAAAATAGTGATTTTTGGCAATTTTGAGATGTCCCCTCGTTGCCATGGTAACAGAAAATTTAAGCCTGATCATGTTGTTGCAAGGGCAATGGTCCAGTTAACATTTGTGCCAAGTTTGATTAGTGTTGAAGCAGTTTTTATAGTATCCTAGCAATTTGAATTTGTAACGGGAGACTTTTCAATGAAAACAGCCATTTTTCAAAAAATGCTCATGAAGTAATGGGTTAATGAAAAAAATCAAAAAAATCTACATAACAACAATTTTCTTCAAATTTATATGACAGGCCATGTTTAAACATGAAAAAACGCGATTTAGGGTAATTTCAAGTATTTTCATCATTTTCTGTTAACCCATTACTTCATATACACGCCTTTTAACGCCTTTTTCACCCCCCCCCTTTTTTTGTTGTCTCAAATGATGAAAAATGCCTTATTTAGGCCCCAAACACTTGTTTTTGTTTGAGAAATGTTGTTAAAAAAAGTGACCTCTTTTTTGGCGCGGCCCCCCAACCAAATGATACATCAGGGGGTTGCCAGAAGGGGGATGTGCCCCCTTCTGTTTGGGGGGGGTTTGAAGGGGGCGGAGTCCCCCTCACCGCCAAGAAAATTTTGGACTTGTGAGAGGCTGTAAATGACCCCAGATTGATCATAAGGTAACATGTAACCAACGTTGAAAAACATTTGACTCTATCTCAATCCATTGAAAAGTTACAGCACTTTGAAATCAATTTTGATGGAAAAAATCAACGCAAAATAGTGATTTTTGGCAATTTTGAGATGTCCCCTCGTTGCCATGGTAACAGAAAATTTAAGCCTGATCATGTTGTTGCAAGGGCAATGGTCCAGTTAACATTTGTGCCAAGTTTGATTAGTGTTGAAGCAGTTTTTATAGTATCTAGCAATTTGAACTTGTAACGGGAGACTTTTCAATGAAAACAGCCATTTTTCAAAAAATGCTCATGAAGTAGTAATGGTTAAAGCTAAACAAGTCGGTGGGGGGGGGGGGGATTTAAACGTCTAGTTTATAATGATGAAGTTTTTGCTGGATTTATTTAATTTCCAAAAGATTATTAAATAGACGTAATAAATTGTAATTTACCGATTTAGTCTGTATTTGTTAGGGGAAATTCCTTGTCTTGAAACTTTTGGCTACGGTTAATTGGTACCCATTTTCCTGGAGAACTCTGTCAAATGTAGAATATGTACCCTCGTAAAACTACTCGGCTCGTAGTCTGTTCCATCTTCTTCTTAATGGAGAGAAGGAACATGGCAAGAAGCTCATCCAGCTCCGTTCATTCGGATGGAAATGGAAATCTCGTGTTTCGTTTTTTTAGTTTGAGAAAAGGTTTTTTTAGCCTGGTTTATAATGGGTTAATGAAAAAACTTCCCAACAAATCATCCCAGTGCACATTGAACGTTGCCATAAAGTTGAAGGATTGTCAAATTAAGATTAAAAAGTGCTTATTTGTATTATTTATAATTATCTTTGTGAAACTTGAGAATGATGTAAATATTAATGTTTTTTCCTGTCCTTACTCTGATTTTGTCACTAAGAATTCATCTTTTTTTTAATTATTTAATATTATTAATATTGTTGTTGTTGTTGTTTTAGATGTCTAAGAGCAGAAGATGTGTATTTAAAGATGTAAGCATCTTAATAAGAAATTGTGTAAATATACCTTTAATTAAAATTAAATCATTTAAAAATCATTTTTTATTTTATGTAACATTTTTTTTTGAATAAATATGTTTTATTAGGCTGTTTTATCTTGTTATTTTTGCAATGCTTTAAGCTGTTTACATTGTGAAAGTAGTCCGGCAAAAAGTGGGAGGTGCTTGAAAAATCTGATGTACTCTGACTTTTCCATAGGTTTAAGCATGGAAAAGTGTTCTCAAGTCACTGACTGAGAATGGTTGCTGTTCTCAGACAGGCTTTATCAGGCAGTTGTCATAGTAATGGCATGATAAAATATAATCTTAGCTTTGATAACAAAAATAATATAAGTTAGAAAAATGTTGAGCTTGTCGCAAAAGGTATTCTCTCTTCCCAATTAAGTAAATGACATGTACTGCGATATTATAGCAAAAAACGTCATAAGTCTGCTGCAATTTTGTGTACATGTACTATCCTTTAGGTCCTTATTGAAATTCTTCGGGCGTCCATGGCGAAATATTGAGGTCGTTAATTTCAAATTACTTGACCTTTACCGCTCAAGGGCCAATCCCTTAGGGGTCTTTGGATTCTTTCATTTGCGGAAGCTATCACGCTAGCTTATAAAATGGCTGTGATTCTACATAGGTGTTCTAGCGTGTCTAAAATAACGCAAGGAGGGGCAACATTCCACCAGAAAAGCTGGTGCGATGTTAACCCCAACCAAAAGGAAATCATAATTCTTGCAATTCTTGTGAACGCATGGAAACATTAATGGAGAAGAAAAAATACATTAGCAGATAGATTCTCGTGGCCACACACCGTTGCTGCTTGACCTGCGAAATTTCTTTAATGGATTTGTTGAGTTCGTTTTGAACTATTTATTAATAATTCTCAGGGTTACCAAGTAGCCTGGCCAGACTGCACGTATGTGTTGAAGACTAACCTCTTTTCGTTATACCACTTTAAGGATGTGACAATGGCTAACCACTTGCCGTTCTACAAGTTTAAGGATTTTGCAACGGCTTATCACTTTGGTTTCTACCAGTTAAAGGATGTGGCAAAGGCTAACCACTTCCAGTTCTACCATTTGAATTGCTTATAAATATATGAAGGCGAAAAGACACTTACATGTACGCCTTCCTTCATTTTATTAAGGTCCATTCCTGGAATAAGGCACTGCCTACTTATATCGTAGTACATCTTGATCTTCATGTTTTCATTTCTATCTAGCCTACTGTCTGCGGTACAATTTACAATCGTGCTGGTTTGGTGAGGAGATTCGTACTTGCAACTTGCTCCTATCAGGTCAGTGTTCGAACTGTAAAGAAAGAATGTGACGATATTACACAATTTATTTTTAATTGTTATCTGTTGGAATTGCTCGGTAACACAGTTTAGGTAAATGATTTTCATATGACAGAACCGTCGGCCACCTCTTAAAGTTAGTCTCTCATACAAAACGGGACTAAAACATCATCATATTTGTTCACAGTTATTAAATATGCATAGAAGCAACTTTTGCAGATTCCATGACAAAACTGTGACCTGATAGTTATCATGTTTCACTTGACACAGATTTAAACACCCCAATTATCACACTGGTTAATACACAAGCGCACAGTTGTTCTACCCGCAACATCTGACCAACTTACAACCAGTTAACGGGAGTGTTTATACTTTAAGTCAACATAAACAATATAAAATGTTGCTACGGTTAAAAAATACAGCAGGATAAACATTGCAAATACTCTACTGTTATGGGTTTCTTTTTTTGATGGACAATACATGAATTAATCCTCTAGTTCCATGTAAATGTACGAGCCTGTGGTAAACCTTTATCCTATGACGACATTTTATTTCAAGAATGCCGTAGCTACAATGTGTGGGGTAGAAGTTTTTATTGCGAGTATACTGAAAGCTAATATGTAAGTAATATGCAAGTGTAGAAAAAGGTAAGGTTTCCTTCAATGCTTTAATTCATGCCTATTGTACTGTACGAAGGGACACTGAAGAATTTCGATAAAGTTTATCAAATTTCATAAAATATAATTTTATGTGATAGTTCTTAATACATTAATATTATCATGCTATGAAATATGTTTATATTGTATTATATCAATTCTTCTCTAAGGGAGACCGACTGGACTTGAAATATGTTTCCAAGAACTGTGTACCATTCGATGAAGGTCTACACTATTAACTTGTTTGCAAATCTTCATTACGTTCCATCATCCCGTTTTATCATAGAAATAATTAAGTTTTGTGCACGATGTCTCAAGGTAAGATCGTCATATTAAAACACATTGTCCGCTAAGAAATTATGCTCACACTAAAATGTACGCTGATTGAATGGTCTAAATATCTACCCGTTCGTAGTCATAAGTGTATAATGCCATTGTGATTTACAAGTAATGCCCGGACCAAATCTTTTTTATGAGGTACCGAATGTCGATTATATTTGTTACTATTATTATGTCAATCGTTGATTTAACAATCAATTGTTTTAATTACAATAGCATCCATTAATTGTTCAATAAATTATCATTGTTTATCTTTAAGTTATTTCGTTAGTTAAATTAATGATTTACATACATTTCAATTAGTAATGTTTTAACTGGTGATAATTCTAATTTTATCTTGTTTTTATTTATTTTTTTCCATTATTGTCACTTTTCATTTCAGTATATCAACAGCATTTTATTTTTTATGTCAACAATTCATTTTTAATAAAACTTACGCTATGCTATTTTCTTCATTGTCAAGTTTGATTAAAATATGTCTATATATTTCAAATGATTGGCTGCTATAAAAGCTATTGACCAACAGTTGATATAGAAAAATATTTACTAAAAAGGATGAAGTATAAAAAGACTGCTCCACTCTTTTTACTAGTACAAATGTTGCTGCAATGCAGCAATTGAGAAACTCCGCGCAAAAATGCGCTCATTACAGATACCTTACCAAATTATTCCTACGCACAGGTCATGTTATATTCAGATTAAGTACTATTGTAGATTTTTTCCGAATTTTTTACTTCCTGGTAAGGAAAGTAATTCCATTGAATACAAACAAGACTTACAAGTCTTGTAAATGTTATGTGACATGACTGTACTGTGTTCTGTTTGTGTCACTACTGTAGTCAGAAACATAAGATGATAAAAATATCAAAGTCTGTATTTTTATTATTATAATTGTAACAAATATACAAATAGTAACAAAAGGGACTATATTATATTACGGCAATATTACATGCATTTTTCATGTCAAATTTAAAAAGAATGGTTTCTTTCAACACTGAAAGAAGACTGTTACCTGAATTTAAGGCAGGTATGAGGAAATTCACTATGCGAGTCAAAGATATAAAAAGCTACTTGAAATTGGTGATATATAAAAAGCTATTGTTAATTGATTTATTGGGAGATCAATACACTTTTTTGCTGAATTGCTTTAAAACCATTCATAAAAAAACAACAAAACACCTCATGTTCAAACTGCAGATTAAAGTTTCTGTTGTTACCAATGATGCGATCTATCTATCTATAGTCTGTGCTTAATAAGGGTCCATCCGCCCGTACGGGCACATGTCACCAGTCATGCCCTTAAAGGGTTATTTTTGAAGCACAAAGTGTTGATAATTTACCTTCATGCATTACCAATAATACAAATGAAATGTTACCTTATATACTAAAGTTATAATTATTTCAAAACAGCCAATATATCAACATGTTATTATTAAACATTTAGTTTTATAAATATAAATTAAGAATAATTATCAAAAGCAAAATTATCAAAGTTTAATACCTAAACTATTCTTTATATTGACAAATTCAATCACTAACAGTATACTTGATATGCTGTGTGTAAATGTAATTCAAAATTCACACAAATAATAATTTCATGTACTACTAAGAAAGGGAAATAACAAATTTATAACCTAAGTGTCAAAAATTTTAAACATTTATAGCTATTTATAGCTTTCGAATTCATGTGCAGCAGAACTGCTTTCCGGTTCTCATTCATTAATATGACATGCTGCCAAACACCCAAGGGGAAACCAATATGATAATCGGAAGGAGTTATTGAATCCGAATTTTTTTTAGGTGTAAATCGAAGGGATTAATTTATAAAATCCGGGCCCATGGACAAAAAAATTATACACACAAATAGCTATAAATTGAACGGTACAGGTAAATACCGATGGATATTTTCTGAAATTTGCGTCGGCCATGTGCGTTGTTAATATTATCGTTTATGCAGAGACAATTATAAAAGTGAAAGGAAATATGGCAAAATGTAAACGTTTTAAGACTTTCTTACTGTTCACTCACGAAATTCCCCATAATGAACATAATGTCACTTTAATTTTTGTACAAATACGAGTTAGTAAACAAATTTTTTGCGGCGACAAAACTTTTTTCTATACTTACATTACATCTCTTTTCATCAATGCTGAAACCTCTCCACTTACGTTAGCTCTGTAAGATGAATTCAAAAGATTCAGTACGTCAGTCGTTACCTGCAATTGTCGGTTGTTGTTTATCATATTAACTATTAAGAAAAATAAAAAATAAAGAATGGTTATACAATGTAACTTTATTTATAAATGGACTAAATTACTAGTAAACAAGACATGTAAGCGGACAGCGCACTCAACTTTTATCAGTGCTCGATAGTTAAATAAAAGCAAAAAAGACAAAAAGGGGAATAAATTTGCAAAACAATGGTAATTTCACAATAAAAAGTATTATATTGCTTAGATAGGACCACAATCTCTCACAATACATCTAGAACCACAATCTTTAAATATGTATATAAAATACCACAATCTCTCACAATGCATATGTAGTACAACATTACAGTACAACATTCTTTCACAATGCATATATAAGACCGAAATCTCTCACAATGCACATGTAGGACAACTTTTCTCAGAATGCATATTTGAAACCACAATCACTCACAATGCATATATAATGTTCTTATAAGAACACAATCTGTCACAATAAATATATGTCCACATTTCATATAAGACGAGAAATAAATGTTCACCTGTAACATGTTAGCTGCATCAACGTATAAAACAGTATCATCAAGGACATGTGTAGGTACAACGCCATCTCTAAGCAGAAACATTTCTACTTGAAGTCTAAGGTCGGATGTACACGTGCTGATATCACATTTCTTGTCAAATTTAGTCTTTAAAAATACCATAAGATAAAATTAATTGTAAATGAAATAAGGATTTGTACATATATGGGTACAAAGCGGGTCTACTTTAAAGACATTTAACAGCGTTTATATCAATTAGAGCCATTTGTACCGCAAAGAATTGGGGTCATTATACTTGAATTAACCAAGGAAATGATTTTGAAAGAACTTTAAAATAATGAACCTTTCTTTGCCATTTCAGTAACTTGATATTCATACCCACAGGAAATGTGAATTCACAAATTGATCCGAATATACCTTAAAATATCCATCATCTTTACTTTCGGTATACATGTTTTGTTTTTTTAGTAAATGTTCTTGGGCATCCGAGGCAAAGTGGATAAGGTCGTTATATTGAAATCATTGCCACCGCTGTGTGTTTGAATCGCGCTAGGAACTTTTGATTTGTTCATGTGATGAAACTATATAGCTAGCTTACGGAACGTCGGTGGTTCTAATCAGGTACCCGTTCGTGTCTGAAAAAAAAATGCACGGATTCTCACATGAGGTATTCCGCCATCGGTAAAGCTGCAAAATTGCAATATGATCTTTACAATGTAGACCTCTAGTAAGACGAAACAAAAAATAAAATAGAAAACGTCATTTTTTTGCAATGACGCTGGTACCAAGAAAGAAATATGCATTTTAAAAAGATACATAATGTAAAATAAATGAAAGCTATTTAAACCACCTCTCTATCAAATATCGTTTCTTTGTGTTTGGTTGGTTTTAAGTAAGTCTTAACGATTAAGGAACATGAATGATTTAGTAACAACGTTAACGTTTACATCTTCAATGATCAGCGTATTAACGTCTTTCGAAAGGATCGGATCAAGGTCATCAAAAGTGTCTTCCCTAGAAGGTATTAGCTCAAAACGTCCTTCCATGCGAACATTTGTCCAGGGATCTTTCGGTTCCGGTTTTCCTCTATGCCTCTGAATGTAAATGTAATTATTGATTTTCTTTCCAAAAATACATCTCATTTGATAAATTACACTCTCCATTTATATTTTTTATTTCATGAAGAAATTTTGTTTTACAATTACACAATGCACCATTGGGGTATTATACACTGGTAAATCTCGATGCCAGCTGGCTATCGGAATACGGTGAACAAATTACATTTAAATGATCGGTATAATAAAAAATGAAACATTTTTAACTTTAGATACATTTAATGATATTATTAGTGTACCATTGTGTATAAGGATAAAAATATCAAGAAAAAAGAAGTTCTCTTAAGGGAAAAGAAAAAAAAAGTTGAAAAGATTAAAAGTGCATTCTTCTCGATTTGATTGAACATGGCGTTTAACATAATTCAAAATGTCACATATTTCAAGCCCACTAGCATCGACTTTAAAAGGAGAAAAGAAGCTTTGTTTTCAACTACACTTTCTGCAATGATTGTTACTACACTTTCTGCAACGATTGTACATGAAGGACTAGAAAAATATATAACTCAATTGTTAGTACCAAATTAGTCTTTACAGCTGCTAAACTGCACTAAATAACACGGGCCCTGTAAATGATTTTATATAAAAACAGTCATGACAGAGATCGAAGTAAGGTTGAGACAAATTTTTCAGTGTTCGTATTTCTAACAGTAAGCTTTAAAACTAACATATTCTCAAAAATGGCCTTAACACTTACATACGAGTATAAGGCTGATACAGCAAAATATATAGTAATCAATGTTAAAAAGCGATTATACAGCAATCGCATATAGGAAACGGAGATATTTAAGATTTTGATTTGAATAAATACATTACCTTCACGTTCATTATATACGTTTTATTGTATACCCTGGGTCCGGAGAGTGTAATGTTCTCAGTAATAATGTCCTGTTTATCAAAAGATGTAAATGAAACCCTACTCCATCCTTCTTTGCTCTTATGTAAAGTGTCAGAATCGAATGTCCAATTCAGGTCTGCCAAAAATTAAATAATATGTTAAAATACAAAGCTTGCTAATTCGGTTTTCAAACCTCTTTTTTCCTTTTGCCAATGAAGTAAAAAGATCAAAATTTTTCAATGGCATATTCTTATAAAATATTGTTTGAAAGAAAAATGTTCTAAGAGATTAAGTATGAACAAATTTATGATGTATAAACATATTTTGCTCTGTATTATTTGCTATAAAGATATATGTAAATTCAGAACATGTATCATCACCATACATGTATATTATTTCGTAGTATGTTGTTTTGTGTGATACTTAATACTATTAACTTAATTATTTGTTGAATTACATACCTTCCATTATAGACCAATTCGTCTTAATATAAAACTGATATGTTTCATGAACTTACAGACATTGTCCACTTTTCCTTTCCTACTCCCGGCATAGTCAAAACGGAACTTGACTTTAACAGTGAAGCAGAGAGATTCATTATCGGTGGAACATGTTAAAAGGGAACCAGTTAAAGGTATTGGATTTGGAGTCATTTCAATTTCAACGACAACATTGACTATTGGCCTCGCTCTAAACATCAACACAGTGTCTGATTCATACGCTCCAACAGCGAAATCTGTTGACAAGAAAAAATACCGTTATAAATGTAACCTTCAATTAACAGTTTCGTTTTATATCTTTGCATACTATTCATATCTCAAATAACAAAGGAAGAAAAATAGAAAAAAATATGTGATGTAGCTTTATAAAGGCCATGCAGGCTGCGGTATACACTAATTCCAAGAAAGTGAGAGAAGAAGAAAAATTGTTTTACTGCAATATCTCATTATTCCCTGAACTAAATATATGTCAAAAACTCATCTTTCACAATCTGGAGCAAAGAAAGAAAATGCCCTAACCACACCTATAGTTAAAAGTCGTTGCACATAAGTCTAGACCAAGCAACACCACTGAAATGTACCATGCTCCTGTTTTAAAAATAAACTATGCTAATCTCTAAGTAAAATATTTTTATTGCAGAAATTTATTGAAATCTACAAAATTCTTACTGAAGACGTCTTATTTAATAAAACAACGTACACACTATGTATGGGAACCTGTGTTCCTTAATTACAAGTCAGGTAAAGCTGGTATTTTCGTAAAAAATGTTATTTTTTAATAAAATGACACTTAACATTGTCCACGTACAATTTTTAGGGTTTAAATCATAAATATCTACTTTGTGTGAAGTAAAACATGTTTGTTTGTTTTTTATTTACAAATGGACTGTGTAGCAATTATCAATATTTTCAAATATCAAATTTGAGCATAGTATATCTTAAATAACAGATCGAATATATGCTATTGGCTATATGTACACAAATGACATTAATTATGTATATAAAAGAACTACAAAAGGCAGTTTGTTATAAGTTTTTAAAGATAATTTATCTATAGTCTCGCACGAAGAACCATGACAAGGTGCATCTAAATCACAAGGTGTATTGGAATGTGTTTAAATAAAAACAAAATCCCTTCTAAGGTGGCACGTCGCAGAGAGGTCAATCGGCAGGTCAAGGTCAAGTTATCTCAATTACCAGCGGCAAGTTTAACTAAAAGCACAAACATCAACACAGAAACAACAAAAATTACGAATTTTGTGGTATCAAAACAATACAAAATACAATTCCTAGACAGTGTAATATTATATAATATTAAAAGATACCTGGGTAAGAATTGTCATCAATATCTTCATCACCGTACATGCTCCAGCCAAACGATCGTAAACCAATGTCAAGATCACGACCTGTTAATCCAAATTACAGTGCATCATACATAATACATTCATGAGGTATGTAATCAGCAATTATTTTTAAAACAACAGAACATAGCCAAACATAAAAGATAATCAATATTATATAAATAACACATGGGTTTGTTGGTAACAATAAAATTATCATCCCTAGGAAAATACTGTTACCCGAGGCGTAGCCTAACTGTAACACAAATAAATCAAGAGTAGCAATATCTAAACTGTCCTTACCTTTTAAGTTTTAAGTGTAATGTAGGCCTACTTGAGAAGCTGATTTGCTTTTATTCTTTTAGCAAGTGATGATATCTACCAGTCATAAACATACAATAAGCTGTGTTTTATTCAGAAAACAAAACACTTACCCATTTATAAGGTTATGATCTGTGAAATCTGGTCCTTCTGTATCCGGTTTTTCTTCGCATGGTTTTTGACAAAGTGCATTTACGAATAACGGTGATATCGAACAGATGTCTGTCAACCAGCTCTATCTGTAACGTTTCACTGGTTAAAATTGTTAAATAATCCTTTGTCGCTAGCTTTAATCGTCTGCATGTTCCAGTTTGACCCAAAATTATTCACATTACAATTACTTCCGTTGAAAACGGATGTTTACTTTTTGACTATTGAACAAAAAGATATTTTATACGCGAAAAGAACTCTAGGGTGCAAAGAACTAAATTTTATGTGAGTCATAGTTACATTGGTGATGCTCTATTGTCGAAAATAAGAATGAATCGAGAGAAAAAAGGCGGCCATTTTATTTCATTTTATTTAGAAAAAAGACCACGTGACCAGATTTTATACTGTTAAAAAATACTGATACCTATATAACAGTACAAACTTCTTAGTCACGTGGTACACTTGCATTATCCAGAGATATCTCTGCATTAACTCCCAGAGGCCTCTGAGAAATTAACATTACGAAAAATGTGAGGGGTAATAAACATAAATAATATGGCTAAAACTTTTCTGAAATGTAGCATTTTAATTAACGTAATTATTGACCTCGTGTTACCAATAGTCTGAAATTAACATTAAATGGTGTCTATTTCATATACCAAGGTAATGACACTACTCTTGTTCTATTATCAGACTAACGATTATGTTTGGGTTTTTTTTTTTTTTTTTTTTTTTTGGGGGGGGGGAGGGTGGGGGGAATTAGGTTATGGAGTTGCGTGTCAAACCAATGTGGTATATTTCAGTTAGCTATAGAAAGTGCTTAAAAGATTTATTTCATTTTCAACTAAGCAGTGCTTTGTTGACGATTTTAACTTTCAAAAAGTAATTTAAGTGAATGGATAAGGATTCAGTAATTTCAAAGCTGATGTTGTAATTCTGACGTTGTAGGAGACATGTAAGTAGGGATTCGTTGTGTTTAAATGATGTTATAAATATAGAATAGTTTAATCAACAGGTTATCGGCGTGGGACCAAGCTCTTCCACCAGGGTACGCACCCTATGGCCCGTTCAACTAGTCAATTATTCTTCAGCCCATTTAATATTATGTCAATTCAAAATCAAACAATTCTTATGTTTTATTGTTTTGCGGCTTACAAATACTAGTTCTAGCCTATTTAAACTCAGTGTTTTGTTGTTTATTCATTTCAAAGGTATTTTATTAAAGAATGTAAATGATTAATGCTTGTTTGAGAATAACGAAAAAGAGCATAATTAGCAATGCTGATACTTAGCCTGGGTTATATTTATTGATATTTATAAATTATTAAAAAAGCTTTGGTAATAGTTACCGATACTAATACAAAAACAGGGTTATGATTACCGATACTGATAAAAAGCATGGTTTATAGTTACCGATACTGGTACATAACCAGTGTTATTAATATATTGCTACTGATGATAATAAAAAGCCCGAATCAGAGTTACTGATACTGATGAAATGTATGGGTTACAGTTACCGATGCAGATCAATAGCCTGGGTTATAAATACTGATACTGTTAAAAAGTCCAGGTTATAGTTACCGATACTGATAAAAATCAGGGTAAAATTTACTGATACTGATAATGAGCCTTGGATATAGTTGCCAATATTGATAAAAAGCCCGGGTTATAGATACCGATAATGATATTTAGCCTGAGTTTTAGCTACTGATACTGTTAAATAGCATGGCTGTATATACTGATACTGATAAATATCCTGGTTTATAGTTACCGGTACTGATAAATGTTCTTAGATATTGTTACCAATGCTGATAAATAGTCTTGGTCAGAGTTACCTATACTGGCACATAGCATAGGTTATAATTACCGATACAGATAAAAAGCCTGTGTTATAGTAACCGATAAATATCTTTGGTTACTATTACAGATACTAATAAACAGCCTAAGGTAGATAAGATTTAGTTACCAATGCTGATAAATAGCTTTGGTTATGATTACAGTTACTGTTGCAGATAAATAGCCTGAGTTACCAGGGTAGTTGAATACTTCGCTATCTCACTACGTTTTCCAAGAGGAGGCGTTTAAATTTTGTAATGCCCCCCCCCCCTTCGCGAAAAAAAAAAATAAATAGAAAAATAAACTAGAATGTGTCCATAGGACACGGGTGCCCCCTAAACTCCACTGTTTTGTCAATCTTATGACTCTAGGTGAATTATTTGTTGGGCTTCATGTGCCACAATTTTAAAACTAAAATTCTAACACTATCGGAAATTTTTTTTAGCGCGTACAAAACAATCAAATCAAGTACGCTATTTTAATGTGGCAAACGAGTTAAGTTTTACATTTATTTCACTTTTAATAATTTGCATTTCGCTTGAAAATTTATAGGGTGAAATAAAATAAACAAATAAAGTTTTATCAACGTTTTCAAAATTCGTTATTATCAAAATGTTTTTACATACGGTAGATTTAACGACAGTTTGTTTTCAACCCACTGAAACAGCCTTTAAAGAACGTTTCTATTGGAAAATCTGAGGCGAAAACAAATTTAACCATAAATATAAAGTCAAATTTTATAATAATAATTATATTTTTTTTTGCTTGACGTGTGAGAATGGAAATAGATATTAATTTAATTCTTCGTGCATTATTGTATAATAATGCACGTTTTTCGTTCAAATGCTATCGGCCTTCGTGATTATACTACTACGCATTTGAACTCAAACCGTGCATTATTCTACAACAATGCACTCAGAATAAATATCTATTTCCTAAATCTTTCACTAAGTTAAGGGCAAGAACTTAACAAATACTGAACATATCCACAAGCAAACCCCAATGTGCATAAGTACAAATGCTGACCAACATTCTGGTAAACTTTCAGGCCTACAGGTCACATACATTTTGAGCTAGGCATGAACAAGTTGAAAATTGCAAATTTATTCTACCGTAGGTCAAGACCAATAACGTAACAAAACTCAAAAAAACCACATGCAAAGTCCCACGTACATAGCTTCACAGTAATGTTGATCATTATTCCTGTAAGTTGGTTGATTCTAACTCAAGCACTCAAGGAACAAATAGCACATCATAGTGATACGGTTTTTTTAAGTCAAGGGCAATAACTCTACAAATACTAGAAAAATCCGCAAGCAAAACCCAAGGTGCACAACTACACATGAAGACCAACATTCCTGGAAAGTTGCATGACTCTAGGTTAAAAACGTTTTTGAGCTTCGTACGACACAAATTTCACTTAGTCAAGGGCAATTACTCTGACAAATTATAAAAGTTCACAAGTAAAACTTCAGATGCACAACTTCACATGTTGATCAACATTCCTGTAAAGTTTCATGACAATATGTCAAATTTTTTGAGGTACGTGTGACCCAAGTTCAAAATTTCAAATTTTTACTAAGTCAAGGACAATAACTCTGCAAATACTAAATTAATCCACACAAACCTACCCTGGTGCACTACTACAAATGCTGATCAACATTCCTGTAAACTTTCATGACCCAAGGTCAAATACTTTTTGAGCTACGTGTGACCCAATTTGAAAATTGCAAATTTGTACTTAATCAAGGGCAATAACTCTGACAAAACAAAATCAATCCACAACCGAAACCCCAGGTGCACAACTTAACACGCTGATCAACATTCCTGTAAAGTTTTATGACTCTAGGTCAAATACGTTTGGAGTTAGGTGCGACACAAATTGAAAATTGCAAGTTATTAATAAGTCAAGTGCAAAAACACTGCAAATAATTCTACACAAAAATAACCAAGTGCACATTTTCACATGCTGAGAAATATTCCTTTAGAGTTTCATGACTCTAGGTCAAATACCTTCTGAGTTACGTGCGACACAAGTTGAAAAATTTTTACTACGTCAAGGGCAATAACTTTAAAATTTCTAAATATAACCAATCAGAATAACCAGGTGCACAACTACACATGCTGATCAACATTCCTGTAAAGTTTCATGACTCTAGGTTAAATACTAGTACTGTATGAGCTACATGCGACACAAGTTACAAAATTGCAAATTTTTACTAAAATATGATAAACAGGATCAACAAGGAAAGGCGGCGTTCAAAGTCAAGGGCAATAACTCTTCAAATACTAAATAAATCTACACGAAAATACCTAGGGCCACAATTTTGCATGCCGAGCAACATTCCTGTAAGGTTTCATGTCTCTAGGTCAAATTCTTTTGGAATTACGTGCGACACAATTTGAAAATTGCCAATTTTTACTAAAATATGATAAACAGGATCAACAAGGAAAGGCGGCGTTCAAAGTCAAGGGCAAAAACTCTAAAAATTTTAATGAAATACACATGAAAATACTCAGGTGCACAACTACACATGCTGATCAACACTCCTGTAAAGTTTGAGTTAAGTGCGACACAAGTTGAAAATTGCAAAGTCTTACTAAGTTAAGGGAAATAACTCTAAAATACTAAATAAATCCATATGAAAATACCTAGGTGCACATTTACATATGCAGATCAACATTCCTGCTCTAGGTCAAATACATTTGAGCTACATGCGACACAAAAGAGAACGGACGGATGGATGGAAGGACGAACTGACGGACAACGGTAAATTTAAGAAAGCAAAATATTTTTTTAAAACTCAAGTCGGGCTTAAAATCGCACACATTATTTTAAGTCATAGAGAAAATTTCAATGAATAGATGTGTATATACATTGAGAAAAGCGAAGAATAAAGAGCGTTCATCTAGTCAATTTAATTACAAGACTACGTTGAAATTTTCAGCTATGTATTTTCGTTAAACTAAGTCTCTGCCTGAAATTTATTCTGAATTTATTATATCTTTTATTTAAAACTGTAGTTATAATAAGGGCAAACATTTATTTATTTACTTTGATAGTGCATTACCTATATATATTTATATATATCTATATATATATATCCCATAAAAAAGTCTGGAGACAACAAACAATTTACTGATTTTTGTGTAAACTTGGCGCAAATGCAGTTTTATTGTTTAAAATATAACATTACCTCTCTTTATTATCTTTTGGCATATAAAAATGTTAAGAAAGTCAAAAGATTTTCATATTTATATGACGAACTTACAGTTTTACATATTTTTAGGGAAAACTGATAATTAACTAGTAATTTCGATCACTTCAAAACATTTTGATTATCCATTAAAATTGTCTGCCCAAATATCAACAAAACATCCATATTCAGTCTAGTGAATATTCCACTACAAAACAATGGTTTCGTATGAAGGCAGAGTGCGCTGTGAAACCCAGAGGAGTCAAGGAGCTGCTGCTTCAGAAATTGCCAACATTCTTGGAATAGGAAGGTTAGTAACTTAAATTGATCTTTCTTTTTTCAATTTTTTTCACTTGCTGAATACATAAAAAAATTTGTAGCTTTGTATATCTTTCTTTGCTTAATTTCCTTTTTCTTCTTCCAGATCCACTGTTTACAAGATCCTTGAACGATTTGAGGTTACTGGAAGTCACCATGATCGACCTCGTTCAGGCCGTCCAAAGACCTCTACACTAAGAGATGATCGCTTGCTTATCAGGAAATCTTTACAAGATAGGAGACTCACTGTTCAATTGCTCAAGAGGTCATGGGAATTAGCAGGAGTAAATGCTTCACATTAACTTCTTCCAGATCCACTGTTTACAAGATCCTTGAACGATTTGAGGTTACTGAAAGTCACAATGATCGACCTCGTTCAGGCCGTCCAAAGACCTCTACACTAAGAGATGATCGCTTGCTTATCAGGCAATCTGAACAATATAGGACACTCACTGTTCCATTGCTCAAGAGGTCATGGGAATTGGCAGGAGTTAATGCTTCACATTCCACAGTTTGTCGTAGACTTCAGCTAGTTGGATTAGGGAGTCATCGAGCCATTAAGAAACCACTATTGACCAATGCTTATAGAGAGAAGCGTTTTTGCTAGAGCACATGCTGACTGGACATGGGTTGATTGGTCCTCTTTTTTGTCCACCGATGAGAACAATTTCAACATGTTTCAGACAGATGGACCAATTCTTGTCAGACGACGTCCATGTGAAGCTCTTTTGGACAATTGTGTTGTGTCAACAGTGAATTTTCAAGGTGGTAGAATCATGGTATGGGGTGCCATGAGCTACCGGGGAACTGGTCTTCTGAAGGTCGTGACTGGAAACTTGAATATCCAAGGTTATATTCACATTTTGAACAATTGTGCCATACCATCTGCTAGGGTATGGATATGAGTTCTGGTACCAAGATGATGGTGCCCCATGCCACTGGGCCAAGAAAGTGAAAGAATGGCAATCCCAGAACAGCATTAGGTGCTTGGAGAAACAAGCATGACATCAAACGAAGCTCAGGAACAAGCATCATGGTAATCTGAGAACTGTCCGTCATAGTTTGTGATTCCTGGAATGAGTTGATAGTTAACAGATGTACAACATTAGTTAAGAGTATGCTAAAAATAATTCAAGCTATTATGGCAGCTAGAGGTGGACACACTAAGTTCTAACTGTGTGACCTTTTCTGTAGTGTTTTTTGTTGGTTGTTGAGCTATAAGTGTAAATGAGACAATACTGTGCATTTGATAGTATTTAATCTAAGTTGTGTATTGTTTTTGTGGTGATATATGACATGAATGATTTGTTATGTATGTATTATGATACATTCAAATTGAATTAAATTGAGTATTTTGTCAAGAATACATGATAAAATTGACTTGTCTCCATACTTTTGATGGGCACTGTATATATATAACCCTAACCCTTTATTTAGTCTAAGAGGTTTATGCAAGATCTTTACATTTATATATAACGTTAATATTTTTCCATTTCCACATGGTTACTGACATATTTTTACTCGTTTAGCTCACTAATATTAAAATGTACTTATAAGTAATGCAAACGTTGTATCTACTTCTATAATTAGTCAATGTTTTGAATTTAAATACGTATTTATAACCTTCCATTATAGAATATTTACCCTATGTATTTTTGAAGAAATTCAATATTTCTAATATAGGAGTAAAAGAATATTTCATTTGCCGCGCAACGTCGTATTTTTAAGTTTCACGCACCTTTATAACGTTACGTCATTGTTATATTTGTTATGATTATATTATACTTTACTGTCTTAAGATATATAAAAACATTGAAAGCGCTAAAAGAAATAAATGTATACAAATTTAACGAACTTTGTACTCTGCATTTCCCAAAACATGTATATGAACAGAGAGAGGAGTATCTGGAAATTAATCTGGTTTCAGGTACCCTGCATTTATATTCAATTTATATTTCTACCAACCCGTCATTCATGCCATTCTTATCTTTATAAATCTTTACCATGTCCGTATTATCTGATATCAAAAACTATTTCAAAATGAAATTTCAGAAAAGAATTTGCTTTGAAATTACATTTCAGGAAAGAATTTGCTTTATATATATCAGACGATGCAAATCATTTGATTTCACTAAATAATTTATTTTTTATCAGGGATTAATGTACAAAGTCGTAAGTCGGTGTTATAAATGATGGCGTCTTATCAGGAAAATTTATATAAGAAAATGACTAAATTGCACCAGTATTTTTTTAAGAATGATATCAAGAGTGATTGTATAATGTACCAGCTATTCTTTGGGTGAACGGGTCCTTCATTTCGCATTTACATTTTCCAATTCCTGGATAGATATATATGGCACCTGTTCCATCATCTTCGTAGGGTGCTCCGATAGCTACATCTGTAAGTTGAATATGATAAACAAGATCAACAAGGAAAAGGAGTTCATTTCGTACATATGAACGTACTGAGTGTTTTCATTAATATTATTTGATTTTTTTCTCTCAAATGTTTTGAAATTGTGTGCCTTTTTACTTCATAATAGCATGTTTTACCTTAAATTCTAAAGATGATAAAAACAGTTTTTATAGTGATCATTTTAAGTGAAATTTTGTATGACTTCTGGCAGCAAACTCTTAAGTTTAAT